TGTACTTCGTCCATCTGCCTGTTCTGTTCCCCGTTCTGTCTCTGGTGAAGCCTCTCACTGCCCCTGTGGCTCTGGCCTGTGCCTCAGCTCTGTATGCATAAATAAATAAATCTTAAAAAAAAAAAAAAAGAAAGAATAAGGTTACAGTTGATTCAACCTATGCCGATTTTATCTTAATGAAGGAGTAGGCAGATGGGCTTGCTCTTGTTGACATCTAAGAAGAGAAACTGAAGGGGGAGATTGTAGAGCCTGAACACAGAAGCCTTTTCCTTAGACACCAAAAATCGTCTCTGGGGCATGTCAGCAAGAGGGAGAAAACTGTCTTTATTTGATCCAACATAGCGTGAGCACCTTGCAAGCCATCATTCCTAATGTTGTAAAATACAGCCCACACTACAGCTTGCTAGTTGTTTCCAAGCCAGTGACCCATGTGACTTGGCTACAAAGTGGCTTTCTCAAAAAGCATGTTACTGCAAGCGGTTGCAACATGGATTAAGCCCCATTCTGTTACCTGAGGGTGGAAAGGCTGGTGTCTACGCTTTAAGCTGTGGATCCTTGAGAGCACAGAGACTCTGCTTGTTTAGAGTTGGCTGAAGGTTGCTGGTGTCTCCTAAAGAATCTGCACCCTGCTTTAGGCACTGATGCAGATAAGAGACAGTGGAAGAGGTTCAATGCTTATGAGGTGATGAAATGGAAAAGCTTTGCACCCTGGGCCATTGGGTTACCTGTGACAGACTGGGCAGAAAGTACAATGAAGACTCTTAGGTGGGTGCATCCAATTTCCACCATGATTACAAGGGTCTCATGGAATAAAAGGTGCTATCTTCTTCAGCGTGCCTGGCATCATGGGACAGAATGGAATCTCAGATGTTGTGAAGATAACTGTGGTATCTGAGGAAGAGGCTTGTTTGAAGAGTGCAGGTACATATTGGAGTATTCAAAAAGATCTGCAGTTTTCAAAAAAATATATTTATGCATACAGATGTGGGGTACAGGCCAGAGGCACAGGGACGGTGAGAGGATTCACCAGAGACAGTGAGGAGCAGAATAGGCCGAATGACACCGTACACTGCTGAGGGGAGCAGTGGGCGGGTCAGGAGAGGTCTGCTGTGCCATCTGGGTCACCTCCGGGGAGGGGATCAAACTCATGCTAAAGTGGCGTTGGCTTCTTAGTGCTGTGCTTTAACCCGCTGTGCCACCAGGGAGGGCCCAGATCTTCAGTTTTAAAGTCTTCTAATGTTGAACCACTTCACTGTGTATGCTACAGAGGCTTTTAGGTGGAGATTGTGTATATAGTACTCTTTCTGTGGTCTGTGACTAAAGCTGTAATATTAGGGAGGCCTGAAAAAAAAAATCAATTTCCTAAGAGGAAATGCTTCATAAAACCCTACATTTATATCCTGATGCTGGATGGTAGTCCTAACCTGGTTAGTGTAAAATATCAATCGTTTCACCCTCTTGGAGATGCAAGTGCCAGTGTCACACTTGCAGCAGCTGCCCTGAGGTGTGTCTGGTGCCTTCCTCCAACATATCTAGTCCGATTTTTTAAAAGATTTATTTATTTATGCATACAAAAACTGGGGTGTAGGCCAGAGATACAAGGGGTGAGAGGATCCACCAGAGACAGTGGGGAGCAGAAGAGGTAGATCAACTGAAATTCAGTGCTTAGGGGAGCTGTGGGTGAGACAAGAGAGATCTGTTGTGCCATTTGAGTCAGCTCCCTGGGGATCGAACTTGTGCTGCAGTGGCTGCTAATAGCTTCATAGTGCTGTGTCTTAAGGACTCCTTGTACCACCAGGGAGGCCTCTAGTCCAACTTCTTATTCTGTCGGTCACATTCTAGGATCCAGTTTATAAATCCAGCATTGCATATCTTTTGTATAACTCCTCTAACCAATCTATTTCATGTACCATATGTACATGTAAATAGAAAAATCTACATGTAAGCAATCTGCATGTATCCATCGTTCCGAGGATATTAATTAAGATCTCTCCTCGGTTCCTGCATTTTTTCCCACATCCTCACGGCCACGTCTGCGCCACCATCCCTGCCTTTCTCACTGCCAACCAGTGACCTCCTATTTGCCTCATGAACCTTCGCTTCCTTACCAGCCTGGCACCCTGTCCTGCCTGGGATCTGTCCATCTCTGATTGGCTGAAGACCTCCCCCAGCTTTTCGCAAGGCTCTCCAGGCCTGGTCCACACTCCACTTTTCCAGGCCACTGCTGCCTGCACTTGTGATGAACCCAAGGACAGCAGTGTGGAGAGGATCATTCTGGCTCTGAGCCCCTGAGGTGAGGCCAGGAACCTGGGATTGGATTCTACCACAGTACCAGAAAAGCTGTAGGTAATAAGAGTAATATTAGTAGTAATAATGTCCCAACATGAGGTAATAATAAGAGTTTGGCAAGGGCCACAAAGGAGTAAATGAAACAGCAGATGCCTTAGTTCAAACTCAAATTTAAACATAACTCCTATTAGACCTTCTATTTCATTCTCCTTCATGTTGACCACCAAGGCCTTGTTTACCATGTAGAGGTCCACAGGGCAGTGGGAAATAACAAACCCTCAGCCTCTCAAAGTGGGAGCCCTTCTTTCCCCTGACCTGACAAAGGCCGAAGTCAAGTGGGCCCTGCAGGAGTTTGACGGTTTGTTCCAACAACTGTTTAGGGTGAGGTTGTAAGTCTCTGGGCAGAAGGTTTGTCTGCCCGGGCTTCAATCATTGGCCAATGTGGCTTAGTCTGACCATCCTTCAGGAAGGGATGTCATGGGGATTTTCAGATGAGTGGGTATCCAATGTGTGGCCTGTAGCAATGGCAGCCACCTCCGCAGTCCCCTCCCTGTCACATTCCCCAGGATTGGCTCTGGGGCTGCCCAGGAGCCAGGGGGAGATGTCTGAATCCCTCCACAGGGATTTACTGGGCTTTGCTCTGACTGAGCCTCGCACACAATGCTGTTTGAGCTTCTCTTAGAAATTGGTCTTATTCGCCAGGATAGGGGAATTCTTAACATGACAATGAGGAAAATGTAACCCTTATTCAGCGGTCTGAGCCTTTTTCTTTACTTCTCTGTACTGTGCTGTGCCGTTGCTTCGACTCCCTGCTGTGGGTTTTGTCTTTCCCTAGGCTCAGGCTCCCTGGGGTAGTGCTGGGGTACAGGGGGTCTGGAGAACAGTGTTGGGGAGGGGGCATTAGCATCCGTAGTGGGGTGGAATCCCATTACTTTCCAGCTGGGTGTCTCCAGGCCGGTTGCTTGATCTGGAAAAGGAATAAGGTAGAGCCAATTGCTAAGAAAGAAATAAGGGAAAGTTGAATGATACAGGGGCGAGGGTGGGGGGGGGGGTTCTTCTTGGACTGGACTAGTAAACAAATGAACATGAGCAAGATACAGAGGAGAAAAACAAAAAATTTGATTAGATATTTGTGGAGAATTCACAAGGCTATACATTTTATTTTTTTTTTTTTTCAAAAAAAATTGATTTATGCTTATAAGAACTGGGGTACAGGCCAGAGGTGTGAGGGGCGAGAGGGCTCACTGGAGACAGAGTGGGGAGCAGAACAGGCAGATGCACTGAAATCCACTGCTGAGGGGGGGCAGCGGGTGAGACAGGAGAGGTCATGTGGGTCACCCCCTGGCCAGGGATGAGACTCAGGCTGTAGTAGCTGCAGAAAGCTTCCCTTGCACCATCAGGGGAGGAGCCTGGCTGTACATTTTAGAACAAGTGAGACAGACTAAGGTTTTCTATCCTAGGCTGAAGAACAGGGCAGGGGCCTGGGGTATCAAGGAGAGAGGGTCTCACAGTGAGGCCAGGTGACTCGTGGCAAGATGAAGCTTTAGATGTTTGTCCTTCCAGCAGATATGTTTCTCTGATAAAAATTCTGAAGGTGACTCTAAATCTGGGTCCTCTTCCTTCTCTCAGGTAATTGTGCCAGTTTTTCTTGAAGACTACAGGACCTCGTGCCAAGGTGAATGGATTGAGAATAGGCTGCTCTGGCCTGGGTTGGAGGAAGTCCAGTCTTCGCAGTCATAGTGGACAGCAGAAAATAGACCTTCAGAAAACATGGCTCATTTCTCTTTCCTCCCTCCTTCTCCATTAATTTATTTTTGGACATCACCTGATCGTTCTTTTCCAGAAGCAGGTATATCTTGTCTTCTCCATCACCCTGAGCTGGTTCCCTTCTGGGTATCTCCTCCAGGTCCATTCTCTGGTATCTGGCCATGCT